CCCCCGCCTCTCCCCTGCCCTCTCTCCCTTCGCCATATCTCCCCTTCGTTTCCCTCACCGCCCCGTCTCCCCTGCAGCCTTTGTGACGCGCCGGCGTGCCCCATTATATGCCACTTGGAATGCGCCGATCTCGCCGCCGTCCCCAAAGGTCCGTGGTATTGCCCGGACTGCCTTGCCCGCCTCCGCGCGTCCCTCCGCGCGCCCCTCCGCGCGCCCCTCCGCGCCTCCCGCTCGAAGACGGAGTTGGCTCCAGGCGGAGCGGTGGTGGAGTCAGTGTGGCTGGAGCGGGAGAAGAGAGAGGAGGGCGGGGAGGGCGGCGGGGGGGCCCGGGTGGGAGGCACCGCAATGGGCGAGGGGCCTATCTTTGAGTTGACTAAAAAACCCGCCGCGATGGGCGAGGGGAGTCTGGCGTGGCAGCATGACGAGGAGATGAGACGGATTAGGGCGGAGGGGGGCGAGGAAGAGAAGCGAGGGAGGAGGGGGGGAGGAGCAGTGGGAAAGGCTGGGGGGGAGGAGCTGGGACGGCAGGCAGCAAGAGGAAAAGGGGAGGGAAGTTGGCACAGGGCGAGGGGGGCTTGCAAAGCGGGGAGGCGGGCGATGGAGGGGGAGGAGTTGGGGTGGGGGGAGGGCAGGACGAGGGGCGGGGCAGGGGGAGGGAGTTCTTTGTGAAGTGGCTGAAGCGGCCCCATGTGCAGAACTCGTGGGTGGACGGTGCGTGGCTGGAGTCCCGGAAACCGGGACACCTGGCGGCATATGAGAGGCTGAAGGCGAAGGGAGAGGTTCGTGCGTTGTGTTGTGTGTGTGTGTGGTGTGGTGTGGTGTGGTGTGGTGTGTGGGTGGAACGGTGTGGTGTGGTTTGTGGGTGGTGTGGTGTGTGGGTGGGGTGGTGTGGCGTGGTGTGGTGTGTGGGTGGGGTGGTGTGCTCTGGTGTGGGGTGTGGGGTGTGGGGTGTGGGGTGTGGGGTGTGGGCGGTGTGGTGTGGTGTGTGGGTGGTGGGGTTGATGCTCGGCAAGGGTGGCAGCAATGGCACTGCATAAGAACCGCATCTCTCTCTCTCTCTCTCTCTCTCTCTCTCTCTCTCTCTCTCTCTCTCTCTCTCTCTCTCTCTCTCTCTCTCTCTCTCTCTCTCTCTCTCTCTCTCTCTCTCTCTCTCTCTCTCTCTCTCTGTGCAGCTGCCCTTGTTCCGCCGTGAATGGGCGGAGCCGGAGCGGCTGCTGGGGCGTTTCAAGGTGGAGGGGCTGGTTGTGGGCAAGGGTGGCGGCACGGCACATGGCGCTGCATAATATAACCCCTCGCCCTCTCCCGCACCCCCCTCTCTCTATGTGCGCAGCTGCCGGTGTTCCGCCGTGAATGGGCGGAGCCGGAGCAGCTGCTGGGGCGTTTCAAGGTGGAGGGGCTGGTTGTGGGCAAGGGTGGCGGCACGGCACATGGCGCTGCATAATATAACCCCTCGCCCTCTCCCGCACCCCCCTCTCTCTATGTGCGCAGCTGCCGGTGTTCCGCTGTGAATGGGCGGAGCCGGAGCAGCTGCTGGGGCGTTTCAAGGTGGAGGGGCTGACTCACGGGAACACGGGCGGCAGGGGGGGGCGGCAGAGCCGCCAGAGCCGCGTCAAGGACGTCTACCAGTGGTGAGAGATGGGCGGCAGTGGTGAGAGAGATGGGCGGCAGTGGTGAGAGAGATGGGCGGCAGTGGCCCACTGGCTCACCCAACCCCACTGGCCACCAGTCCACTTGCTTTCCAGCTTTGCCTCCGCACCTCCCTCTCTTCCGCTCTTTTGATTTGCCTAAATCTTGTCTCTCAGTGAGAGACTCTCACCAACCAGCCTTTCCCTTCTCACGGTGTTGTTGCGTCGCCTCTCTTTTCTTCTCTGTGTTCACTCCTACGCGTCTGTGTGTGACATGATCAGGCTGGTGAAGTGGCGGGGACTGGGCTATCACCCCCTCACGTGGGAGCCCACCTCCATGCCGTTCCTCTCTACCCCCCGCGGATTGGAGCTGCAGGCGAGGCATGCGAGGGAGAGGAAGGCGTGTGAGCGGAGATCCACAGAGGAGGCAAGGTGGGAGAAGGGGGAGGAGGGAAAGGAGGTGGAGGAGGGGGAGGAGGTAGTGGTGGTGGAGGAGGGGGAGGAGGGAAAGGAGGTGGAGGAGGGGGAGGAGGGGGAAGAGGTAGTGGTGGTGGAGGAGGGGGAGGAGGGGGAGGAGGGGGAGGAGGGGGAGGAGGGGGAGGAGGGGGAGGAGGGGGAGGAGGGGGAGGAGGGGGAGGAGGGGGGAAGAGGGGGGAGGAGGGGAGGAGGTAGTGGTGGTGGAGGAGGGGGAGAGGTGGAGGTGGAAGAGGGGGAGGAGGGGGGGGAGGAGGTGGAAGAGGGGGAGGAGGGGGGGGAGGGGGAGAATGGGGAGGAGGTGGAAGAGGGGAGGAGGGGGAGGAGGTAATGTGGTGGGGAGGGGGAGGAGGGGGAGGAGGGGGAGGAGGGGTGGAGGAGGGGGCGGAGGGAGGAGGGGGAGGAGGGGGAGGAGGTGGAAGAGGGGGAGGAGCTGGGGAGGAGGTTGGTAGTGGTGGTGGAGGAGGGGGGGGAGGAGGTGGAAGAGGGGGAGGAGGGGGGGGAGGAGGTGGAAGAGGGAGAGGAGGGGGGGGAGGGGGAGAATGGGGAGGAGGGGAGAGGGGGAGGAGGGGGAGGAGGTAATGGTGGTGGGGAGGGGGAGGAGGGGGAGGAGGGGAGGAGGGGGAGGAGGGGGGGAGGAGGAGGGGGAGGGGGGGGGGGAGGAGGGGGAGGAGGGTAGAGGTTGTGGAGGAGGGGGAGGAGGGGGAGGAGGGGGAGGAGGGGGAGGAGGGGGAGGAGGTGGAGAGGGGGAGGAGGGGAAGGAGGTGGAAGAGGGGGGGGGGGGGGGGGGGGGGGGGGGGAGGAGGAGGAGGTAGAGGTGGGAGGAGGGGGAGGAGGGGGAGGAGGGGGAGGAGGGGGAGGAGGTGGAAGAGGGGGAGGAGGTGGGAAGAGGGGGAGGAGGGGGAGGAGGATAGTGGTGGTGGAGGAGGGGGAGGAGGGGGAGGAGGGGGAGGGAAGGGGAGGAGGGGGAGGAGGAGGAGGAGGTGGAGGAGGGGGAGGAGGGGGAGGAGGTGGAGGAGGGGGAGGAGGGGAGGGGGGGGAGGAGGTGGAAGTGGGGGAGGAGGTGGAGGAGGGGGAGGAGGGGGGCTTGGGGGAGGGAGTGGAGGGGGAGGAGGATGGGGAGAGGAGGAATGAAAGTGGTGTCTCTTGCGGGGCAGTGGCGAATCTGGCAAAGGCATTAGTGACTGTGGCAGGGGCAGCGGTGGGAACGGGCTGTGGCATGTGTTGGATGTGGGTTGGCCAGGAGGGAGCGTGGAAGTGTTCTTGGGGGAGAAGAGTGGGAAGAGGTTGAGGGGTGAGGAGGGGGCAGGTGGAAAGGAGGGAGCGGGCGGAAAAAGAGGGAGGAGGGGAGCGGGTGAAAGGAGGGAGGGAAGGAGTGGGGGAAGAGGAGGGAGGGTGGTGAGGAGGGGAGGACGTTTTGGCAGCTTGGGGAGCACATTGAGGGGCGAGGGAATGGGCGTTGGGGAGGACATGGGCTGTTGGGGAGGGGAGAGGAAGTGCGTTTATTCACTGAGCAAACAGTGCAACAACGTACTATGTACTGGGTGGGAATAAGTGTTATGTGATGGTGAATGGAAGCGACAGAACCAACCCTCAGAAGGGCAATTGCTGTGTTCCCAGCTTGGGACCAATGGCAACCAGGTGTGAGTGATGTTGAGTGGGTTGGGCGGACCATGTTTTTCAGAGGGTTCTAGGGGACAGACAGAGCTGTTTTGGCATGGGCAGGATGCTGGGTAGGTGGTAGCACGTGCTATTCTTGTCATTGTCAAACTAATTTGAATCACGCCTTGCATTAAGCTATTTGTGAATCCAGTATGTTTTGAGTTGGTACGTACAGGCATACGGTTGGCTTTGGCATAAAGGATGGTTAAAACAATACATACTATGCCTTTATTATTTGGCAAATTATTGTGCGGGAAGCAAAACATACCCTTTATTAACAACCCCAATGTCCTATCGGGGAATCTGGGCATACCGGTAGCTCCTGCGGGTCAAGTCAACCTTAGAATGCACCAGACCAGACCAGAGACCTTCTGAGTCCTCCTGACTTATGAGGCACCTAAAGAATGCAAGAAGCGGTACAGTAGATGCCCATTATTAACAACCCCAGTGGTGGCATATCTGGACATGCTGTAGCTCAGTGGGGTCAATCAAGGCTCTCAGAGGCCAATGCACCAAAGACCTTGTTGGGCTGAAAAATCCAACAGATCTGGGTCGTGATCTGCATAATCCCCCCCCGTGCCTCCCCCTGTCCGCCCTACTACTTGGAAAGAGGTTGCACCGCCAGCACTGACCGCACCACATGGCCAAACTGATCCTTCCATGTCAGGCTTCCGAATTGGAAATCAGGAGACGCCTTCGCGACTGTGAACCTGATAGTGAATGTCACAACCCCATTTGGAGGGATTGTAAATTTATTCGGACTTACAACTGAAGTAACACCAGGCGGTGTAACCACAGTCGAAGTGTAGCTGGATACTGTTTTCGCGACATTCTGCACCGTTCGCGATACCACCACCGTTTTTTTCAGCCGCGATACCGAAATCGTCGGGCGGTTCAAATTGTATGCCAAAATCGGCGACAGCTTCGTCCCGATTGGCACGGAACCCTTGGCAGACACCAGATTCTGCCCGGCCAGAAAATTGTAATAATCCGCAGCGTTGGCGGGGAAAAGTTAGCCCAGGATCCATCAGACCGTTGGGATTGACGTGACCCGCTCCCATATCCCACGGCGTCGCCTTGTTTCCAGTCAAACCCGCAACGACCGACCCGTTTTTCGTGTTAGTCACGTTCGCTGTAGTCATAATCGCGGACATTACTTGCGATGGCGACCAGGCAGGGTATCTTTCGACGAGCAGCGCCGCGATTCCCGCCAAGTGCGGAGTAGCCATGGATGTTCCGCTAAGCATGGCGTACGCGGGGGGTAGAAGCCGATGCGAGGGACGACGACGGCGCAGCGGCCCATAGGGAAACGCCGGGGCCGATTATATCGGGCTTTAAGATATCGTTGGTGGGGAAGGAGAGCGTGGCTGCAGTAGCGGGGTTGACGAGCGGACCGGTAGAGGAGAAATACGCGATTTCCGGGGCTTGATCGCAGGTTACGTCCGTTTTGAAGGTGTAGGCGAAGGATGCAGTCGGGCTGGAGAGGGGGGGAGGGAAAATGGGTAGAATACGGGTGGAAACTAGTGAGAAAGAAGAAATGAAAGCGAATTTCAAGGCTTGATAGCTGGTTACATCCGTCTAGAAGGTGTAGGCGAAGGATGTAGTCGGCTGGCAGAGTGGGGAGCGACGGGGAGAGGGGGAATGAGTTGGAGACGGGAGGGAACTCGTGAGTCGAAGGAAATAAAAGGGAATTTCAAGGCTTGATTGCTGGTTACGTCCGTTTTGAAGGTTTAGGCGAAAGATGCAGTTGAGCTGGCGGAGGGGGAAGCGATAGGAGAGGGGGGAGAGCGAGACGGAGAAGGCGGGGAATGGGTAAGGGACAGAAAGAAACTCGTGAGTCAAAACAGAATAAGCCGCTGGGAGGGCTTTGATTGGTGGTTATTGAAAGCAGCCAGGCTGGTGGAAGAGAGAGTTTTTTTAGTCGACTCAACAATCGAAACTCGTCAGTCAAAAGAGAATAAGCGACTTTGAGAGCTAGATTGGTGGTTATTGAACCGTTCCTATACGCAGAAATTGAGTGTAGTAACCCCTCGCTTGACTGTGGTGTGGGTGTACGTGTGCAAAACACCCGTCTCGTGAGCCTCTGCTCCCGTGCAAAATTGGATACGGTCTCGCTGCTGCTGCCCACATCCACCACAGTACCAACCAGGTTCCCTGCTTTTACTCAGGCCCAGACAGAGAGTGTAGTAACCCCTCACCTGACAGCGGTGCGGGTGTACGTGCGCAAAACACCCGTCTCGCTCGGCTCGGCTCCCATGACTGGCAGCCGAGACGTATAAATAGGGTACGCTCTTGCTGCTGCTGGCACATCCACCACAATCACTGCGCTGCCGCCCTTGGCAGCGACCTCTGCTGCCTTGATGCTGGCGCTGGTCCACCCGTACGAGCACAGCACTATTTTTCCGGTTATCTTGCTGGCATCTAGTGAGTCTTCTGCACAATACTGACCCTGGAGGGTGGGGAAACGGAGGAGGAGAAAAGGGAGGAAGGGGAGCAGAAGGAGAACGGATGAGGGTGGGTTGCTGCCTGCTGGCGCTGGTCCATCCATACGAGGCACGGCACTAGCTTGCCTGCCAAACGATCGCATCCACCACCATCACCGCACTGCCGCCCTTGGCAGCGACCTCTGTTGCCTTGCTGCCTTGCTGCTGGCGCAGGTCCATCCATACGAGCACAGCACGATCTTCCCTGCGACCTTGCTGGTATCCAGTGAGTCTTCCGTACAGTACTGGCCCTGCAGGGAGGGGCATGGGATCGGGAAGAACAGGGGAAACAGGGGGAACGGGAGGAGTAAGGGAATGAAAGAGGGCGGCTTAGTGCTGGTCCATCCATACGAGCACAGCACGATCTTCCCTGCGACCTTGGTGCTATCCAGTGAGTCTTCGGAACAGTACTGGCCCTGCAGGGCGGGGAAAAGGAAGAGGAGGAAAGGGAAGAAGGGGAGCAGGAGGAGAACGGATGAGTGTGGGTTGCTTCCTGCTGGCGCTGTTTCATCCATACGAGCACAGTACGATCTTCCCTGCGACCTTGCTGGCATTCAGTGAGTCACGTGTTTGAAGAAGTGTTTTGAGAACACTCGTCTCAAAACAGCTCATACTTCCTGCCTCCCCTCCCACACACGCAGCTACGTGTTTGAACAAGTGTTTTGAGTCTCACGTCTCAAAACACTTGTTCAAACACGACCTTGCTGGCATCCAGTGAGTCATGTGCGCAATACTGGCCCTGGAAGGCAAGGTGGGTGAGCAAGCGGGAGGGAATGGTGATGGACGAGGGAGGCTTGCTGCTGCCAGTGCTCGTCCACCGTCCATCCATACGAGCACAGTACGATCTTCCCTGCGACCTTGCTGGCTTCCAGTGAGTCTTCCATACAGTACGGGCCCTGGAGGGAGGGGAAGAGAGGAGGGAGGGGAAGAGATGGGGGAGGGGAAGAGATGGGGGAGGGTGGGTGAGGTAGTGGAGGGGAAGGGGAACGGCCCTGCCTAAGAGCCAGACAGAAACTTACATTCATGATGCCCTGCTCTTTTCTATTCTCACCTCAGCCTCACTCTTCCCGGCTGCCCGCGCTGCACTCCCCTCCACCAGCCCTAGTCTCTGCACCGCCATATTCCTCGAGTCAAAGCCGTGGACGCTCATAAGCCATGCGTCACGAGTCACGACCCTGCTTAGAAGCCAGCCAAACATTGCCCTGCTCCTCCCACACTCACCTCGATCTCAGTCTTCCCAGCTGCCCGCGCTGCACTCCCCTCCACCAGCCCCAATTTCTGCACCGGCACGTTCCCTGAGCCAAACCCGTACAGCTTCACGACCCGCCCGTCGCCCAGCGTGGCTGCTGACACATAGCTGCGAGCGATGGTGCTGCAGGGAGAAAAGGGGGAGGGGAAAAAGGGGAGGAGAGGTTGAGACCGGAAGCCACAGACCGATACAGCTTCACAACCCACCCGTTGCCAAGCGTGGCTGAAGAGACGTAGCTGTGCACGATGGTGCTGCAGGGAGGGAGTGGAAGGGAGCTGGGGAGGAGAGGTTGAGACAGGAAGGCAAAAAGCCATACAGATTCACCACCCGCCTGTCACCCAGCGTGGCTGAAGAAACATAGCTGTGCACGATGGTGCTGCAGGGAGGTAGTGGAAGGGAGCGGGGGATGGCACAGGCAGCGGTGGGGTAGAATGATCACATGCCTTAACTTGCCACACGCCCATGCCTTAATTTGTCACACACCCATGGTCTACATAGAACGAGGACACTTCGCACTCACCTGGCGTCAACAGAAAAACACCTGACACCCACCTGGAGCCACCAGAAAAGCACCTGAAAACCCACCTGGCGCCAACAGTGAGGTAGAACGGCGAGAAGTTGGAGATGCTGCGATACATTGAAGGATTCAAGGGAGGCGGGCCAGAGTTCCCCGCTGCATAAACCACCACCGTGCCGGCCAGATTTGCGTATAAATATGTCTGATCGCTAAAATATGTGGCACTGGGGTCTGCGCCACCCAGGGAGAGCGAGATGACGTCAACCCCGTCAGCGACAGCCGCGTTGACAGCTGCCTCCACGTCAGCATACGTGGCAGTGATCCCGCCGCCTGTGACAGAGTTGCCCCAGAAGATCTTGTAAGCTGCGAGGAAAGCGCGGGGTGCCATGCCGGTGGCGTTGCCGAGGTTTATGTTGCGGGGAGAGAGCACCACGGGCACGTTGCTGTTGCCTGCTGCCGCTCTGCATTTTTGGGTGGAATGGAGGGGGGAGAGGGAGGAAGACGATGGGGGGAGAGTCAAAACGGCACGGGGAGAAGAGGCACGTTGCTGTTGCCTGCTGCCGCTCTGCATAATGGAGGGTAGAGGAGAGGAGTGGGAGGCGAGGGGAGAAGGGGAAGAAGTTCAAACGCGTTCGGTACTTCACAGCCATATGAGCTGAAAGGGACTAAAGACCCCGAATGTTTAAGACGCTTGGTACTACATCTAATCTAAGTATGTTGTTGAACCTTATGTTTGGTACTAAGAATAGGAAGGGCAAGGGAAAGTCAAGAGAGCAAGAAATGGAACATATCATGATGGTCAGTGCTGAAATGGAAAGCAAGTCATGGAGAGAGATGGGGAGGCATTGGTCACTCACGCTGCACACCAGGAGCCATGCCCATTTGTATCCCGGGCCGACATCCAATCAGCAGTCGTGTCTTCAAAGTGTTGAAGTGCAAAGCAACAGGCAAGAAAGGGAGAGAGAGGGGGTATCGAACACTCACGCTGCACACCAGCTGCCATGCCCATTTGCATCCCGAGCCGACGTCCAATCAGCAGTCGTGTCTTCCTGCCCGAACCACATTCGGAACCCGGCATTGAAAATCCTCGCGCCAATCACCTTTCTGTTGCACTTGAAATCAGATGTCACCTGACAGGTGCCTCTCCAGGTAGATGGAGGGTTAGGGTAAGGCAGGTCAGGTGGGGTAACATTCGAGGAAAATGAAGGGTGTTCCGGCCAAATACCCGTGTCAACTATTCCGATCACTACGCCTTCTCCTGCCCGCTCGCGGCCCCGGGCAGTCCAGAGAGTCCCGGGCAGGTTTAGAAAGTTTGCAGAGTCGGTGGTGAGCTTGCTGATTCGGTAGTTGGCTTTGACTTCCGCAACTGCTGGGTGCCGCTTCAGCTGCTGCAGCTGCTTTGGCGTCAAACGAGCCACAAAGGCATTGCTGACGTGTTTGAATCTGGCCAAGAAAGAGAGAGAAACAGAGGGACGGTGAGCTGGCAGTGGGAGATGGAGAAACAAGGGGATGTTGGGGTTCGCAAGATGGAGTCACAAATTGGAGTGCAGGGTAAATGCAGGAAGTCAAGGAAACAAACAAAAAGCAGTTACAACTCACTTGTACAGAACATTCGCGCGCGGCAGGCGCACGTCATTCGCAACTCCATCCTGCAGCCGATCGAGCCACTGCTTGAACTGCGCGACAGCTGGCGACCCCAAGTTCATTCGCGTCGATTGGCGACTCCCTCGGCGACGCCCCCTGCGAATCTGGCCAACCACTGAATTGATGACGTCAGACACAGAGTCTCTGACTGCCTCTGCTGCCGTGGCGGGAATCCCATTGATTCCGCCGGTGTATCCCGCGATTGGCGGGGCGGCGCGGAGGCGGACGATGTACACGTCAGATACGTCAGAAGGGATAACCTTGTCGACTGGCTGGTCCAGCAGCGGAATTTCCGGCGCAGTTTCAGGAGGAATTTCGGGTGTGGTCGGTTGCGTAGCTTCCGGAGCGTCGTTTTGCGATGGTTGCTGGGGCTCCAAAATGATTTCTGATTGGTCAGCTGCGAAGGAGCCAAGGTTTGGAGTAAGAAAACATGAAATGTGGAGACATGATTGCAACAGCAGCGGCTCGAGAAATCTCTTCAAGCACGTTGAACTAGCTCTCACCTTCTTGCCCATAAACGAGGCTGTTATTGGCGAGGATAAGCAATCCAAGCACAAAGCCCACGCCGAGCCGTGACTGGGAAATGGAGCGGCATCGACGAATCTTCATCGCACGCACTACTCGTTTAGTAACGTTCCGCTCCGGATCCTCCCGAAGCACCTCAGGGGATACGATACAGGTATGGTGGTGGAGATGATACGACTAGTAGTGGTCCTACTATAACGGAAGGAGAGTGTCTTATGAATGTCCTGGGCTCGCTTTAGATGAAACGACGGACGTGACGCCAGTGAACGAAGATCAGAAGTTCTGAGACGTCTCAAAACACGACGTGCGCTGGTGAACAAAGCGTGAGCGAGAATCAGAAGCCGGGTCCGAGCGCGCCGTTCTGCTGAAGCTGGAGCTAGGGTTTCGGTAAAATCGCCTCTTAGGACATGTGTCATATGCTTCTATTACCAACTACGCAAGGACGTGAAATACCATGTGGCTCTTCGCTTGCGTCGCCGCCGATAATGATTTTCGTTCCTTCCAGCAACGCGCATTCGTACTGCTACTTGACAGACGAGTCCAGACATTGCCAGTACTACTATAGTAGTCAAAAAGCACGTCCTTTGTGGCGGCGCATTCCGCCAGCCTAGTTGCGAGGTGCTGCCAGCTAAGCTGCTGCGCTAATCTCCCGCGACGGGCGTCTGCGGCAAACCTCCAGCCGGAAACTCCGCTGCCTAGTTGTGGCAGAGCTACTATTTCACCTCTCAACAAAGTTCTCCTTGGAGGATAGCACACCCCTCTAGCGGATTGGAGGGGTTCGGTGGTTTACACCGGACCTGAAATGTGAGCCCAGGCTCAATCGGTGCATATTTGCAAACCTGGGTTCAACATCGAATTTTTGGGTGACACGTTTCAGAGACATACGGCACGAGATCTAACAAACCGCACCAACAAATCCCAGATCGGAGTGTTCATGACCACACACCGACCGTCAAAGTTGGGAGGTAACAAGATGGGGGGGGGGACAGGATTACTGTAGCGTCGCCAATATTGCGCGGGATCGATCCGCTGAAGAAAAAGAGAACACTTCTTTGTGACAAGGAATAGAGGTTCGGGTGAGATGCGGAAACTACTGTGGGGGAGGGGAAAAGGTCCTCTCCCCCACCCACCCCCTTCCCGCCTCCCCCGAATTTCAATCATACCTTCCCCTACCCTGCATAGCAGTGCGCACTACGCACACCCTCACGCATCCTCACTTGCTTGCACCTCTCGCACCGCGGCCGCTTCCTGCGCTTCGACTGCCCGTGGCAACTGTGGGGTGGCGAATGAGTGACCAAGCGAAACGATCTGCCCGTAAACCGAATTTCGTTTCAGTAATCCCCGTCGTTGGCATCGGAGTTAGGTCTTGCTCGTCATAATGGTAACCAGCTTGGAATTTCGTCATCCACGTAATGGTTACCAACCATGATGACAGCCACCAACAGTTTCTTGATCAGTGCAGAGCAGAGCAGATGCTGAGAACGATTAGTCAATTTAGCAGTTGTCGATAGTTGACAGCCGTGCTTCCATATTCCGAGCTGCTAGCATTGTTTCTCGCCATAGTGGATTTAGTTATAGCGGGATCTTCCCATGTAGAAACTCACCGACCACGTTATAGCCCGCGGTCCAAATTAAAGCTCAAGGCCCAAATTGTTCAACCTTAGTAAGGTTGCCCTTTGGGTAGTTGGGGAGGAAGGTTGACTTGTTTGAAGTTGGTCTGTTTAGTTTCGCTCAACTTCTCGCTACACAGTCAGAATTTTCGCTGACTCAGCAAACCCCAGGCAACAACTCGGAGTTGGTTCTCGAGTCCCAAATTGCACTCACAATATTCTTGGTGTTTCCTGCTTTCCGATTTGTCCAAAAGTTGATGGCCAATCAAATTGCATCGCACTTCACGTAACCACAATTCGCACCCAAAACAACACTCAGAAAGCACTTCGATCAACTTTAGTAAGCTTGCCCCGCGCGCTCTGCAATTTGGGCCTTGAGCTTTAAATAGCGTGCGGGTCAAGCTTTTAAAACTTGACTAAGTTATGGCTGCATGAACCCTTGGATGGATGTACATGACACATGTGTTTCTCATCATGTTTTATGCTAAATTGTATAGATGTTTTTGTGTCTTGGGGAGCTCTGATTTTGCACTTATGCTTGTGCTGGTTTGTCATCCTAGATAATTTTATTACTATCTATTGTGAAATGACACTTATTATCTTATAATGCAGGTGTAAGTATATATGAAGTCGACGAGTTAGATATTGATGATAGTTCATTTCTATGCTTGAAATGGTCCAAAGCCTTGGATAACGCTTATGAGTCCAAACGGTGTGTTTTCAAGCGAGGTGAGTTCACCTGCCAGCCCGGATTTCGTACGATGGTTTCAGTGACGAATTTCATCCGCCAAGCACCCAGCCAGAGTTTCTGGGGGTAAATGCGACATTGACGTGCCAGCACTGCTGGTTCTCGCCACAGCTGGACGGAGTGTACTCAGCGAGTAATGAGCGTATCGTAAAGCACGGATGGTGTGAAAAGAAGAGGTGATCGTTGCTTTTTTAGCGTAGCTATTTTCGTGAACTTGCTAAGTTCGGTTTCTCTACATCCTCAATCTTTTGAACGGGAAAAGTTCCTCCCTCACCCTGGAATGGCAGGGTTGGGTGCCCCAGATTCCCTGACCGCATCCGGCAACTCCTCTCAGTGTGCCATCGTTGCCTTGCCAGACTGGATGTTGCCACTGGCCATCAAACACAGCGTAGAGCCAATGATTATTTGAGACGTAGCTGGCAATGAGCTGGCTGCTGGCTGCATGTCCAGCTCAACAAGATACTGTACACCTAGCCCGCGCCAAATTCACTAGGGCCATTTTCAACCCCCTGTGTAATTATTTCTGATTTACCCGATATTAAAGGGCTGTTACGAATGCTTTCGTTTTAAAGAGGGTACGTTTCAGACATCTCTGACGAGTTAGAGGGGATGAAAAACGGGTCACAATAAACTATGCTCGAGTCGCCGTGGTAAGAGTGCGTTTTTTTTAATATCTCGACACTTGGCTGAGTGGTTTGTAGCCTTAAAATTCTGGGAGTTTACTGGTAAAAGCCAAAATCGGGTTCAGGGTGCTTGCCGAAACAAGTTGCAGGGCGTGAAAATAGCGCGGGCTAGGTGTATTGTTCTTTTGTGGAGCTGCGGATTAAATTAAAGGTTAACCTTTGTGGAGCTGCGGAGCCA